AGCGAAAGGCAAACAATTGAAAAATGACAGCTATCTTAAACATGTACAAAGATGAACTCATAATGTAATAAGGACCTAAAACATCCCTAGAAGAAAATTTAGGCAATAAGTGCCTAATTGGTTTTGGTGATGATTTTTTGGGGTTTGACACCAAAAGCAAAGACAACAGATGAAAAAATAAACAGGTGGGACTACATCAAACTAAAACGCTTCTGCCCAGCCAAGGACACCATCAACAAAATGAAAAGACAGCCTACTTAAATATGAGAAAATATTTTCAAATTGTATATCTGATAAGGGGTTAATATCCAAACTATATAAAGAACTCATACAAATCAAAAGCAATAATACAAATAATCCAATTAAATAATGGGCAGAAGATCTGAGTAGACATTTTTCCAAAGAAGACATACAGTTGCCAACAGACACATGAAAAGATGCTCCACATCACTAATCATTAGGGAAATGCAAATCAAAAGCACAATGAGTTACCACCTCACACCTGTTAGGATGGCTATTATCAAAAAGACAAGAAAATTCATATTGGCAAGGATATGGTGAAAAGAGAATCCTCCTGTCCTGTTTTTGGGGATGTAATTGGTACAGGTACTATGGAAAACAGTATGGAGGGAGGTTCCTAAAAAAATTAAAAATAGAAATACCATGTGATCCAGCAATCCCTCTCTTCAGTTTCAGTTTCCAAAGAAAACAAAAACACTAACTTGAAAAGGTACATGTGCCCCGTGTTCATTACATTACAACATTATTTATAATAGCTGAGATACGGACACAGCCTACATGTGCACGGTGGATGAATGGATAAAGAAGATGGGTACATAACACAGTGGAATACTTTTTGGCCATGAAAGAGCAAGGAATCTTGCCATTTGAGACGACATAGATGGACCTCAAGGGCATTATGCTAAGTGAAATAAGTCAAACAGAAAAAGACAAATACCACAAGATCTATTTTATATATGGGATCTAAAAGAATAGGTCATAGATACAGAGAACAGATTGGTAGTTGCCAGATGTGGGTAGGAGAAACAGGTGAAGGTATAAAAAAGTGAAAAGAAAGAATATAAAAAACAGAACAAAACACACATATCCTCTGGGAAGCCAGAATAACGTGGCTGCCCCTGGGTTGAAGGTAAGAACCAGGGGTCTGTCCAAGAATTGCCTGCTGTGTCTGTGAGTATGGCAGGCAAGGTGGTGAGGAGAGATGTCAGTGAGTTGTACAGAACATATTTGGGCTAAAAAAAACCATATTGTGTCAAAATTCAGTGATGTTCCAGAGATTCAAGTAATGGAGAAGCCCGTTGCCCAGGATAACATGTCAGAACTTGCAGTGGGTCTAAGAGGGAGTGTGTGCTGGGCTCTGGCTTCCTACCATCTGTGGCCATTTCACCGTGGCCCTAATGGGGTTATTCTTTTTTTTTATTTTGGTATCATTAATCTACAATTACATGAGGAACATTATGTTTACTAGACTGCCCCCATCACCAACTCCCCCCCACACCCCATTACAGTCACTGTCCATCAGCATAATAAGATGCTATAGAATCAGTACTTGTCTTCTCTGTGTTGTATAGCCCTCCCTGTGCCTCCCACCTACATTATGTCTGCTAATAGTAATGCCCCTTTTTTTCCCCTTATCCCTCCCTTCCCACCCATCGTCCACAGTCCCTTTCCCTTTGGTAACTGTTAGTCCATTCTTGGGTTCTGTGAGTCTCCTGCTGTTTTATTCCTTCTGTTTTTGCTTTGTTCTTATACTCCACAGATGAGTGAAATCATTTGATACTTGTCTTTCTCCGCCTGGTTTATTTCACTGAGCATAATACCCTCTAGCTCCATCCATGTTGTTGCAAATGGTAGGATTTGTTTTCTTCTTATGGCTGAATAATATTCCATTGTGTATATGTACCACATCTTCTTTATCCATTCATCTACTGATGGACACTTAGGTTTCTTCCATTTCTTGGCTATTGTAGATAGTGCAGCGATAAACATAGGGGTGCATATGTCTTTTTGAAAGTGGGTTCCTGTATTCTTAGGGTAAATTCCTAGGAGTGGAATACCTGGGTCAAATGGTATTTCTATTTTTAGTTTTTTGAGGAACTTCCAAACTGCTTTCCACAATGGTTGAGCTAATTTACATTCCCTCCAGCAGTGTAAGGGGGGTTTATCTTTCTCCACATCCTTGCCAACATTTGTTGTTGTTTGTCTTTTGGATGGCGGCCATCCTTACTGGTGTGAGGTGATATCTCATTGTGGTTTTAATTTGCATTTCTCTGATGATTAACAATGTAGAGCATCTTTTCATGTGTCTGTTGGCCATCTGAATTTCTTCTTTGGAGAAGTGTCTGTTCAGCTCCTCTGCCCATTTTTTAGTTGGATTATTTGCTTTTTGTTTGTTGAGGTGTGTGAGCTCTTTATATATTTTGGATGTCAACTAATGGGGTTATTCTTACCAAAATATCAGTGAAGAAGGAAGCCGCATATATTAGACATCTCTATGTGATGGGGGTGTGCTAGGAGCTGCCAACAGCTTTGAAGTGAGTGGCATTTTCTGCTGTGGAGATGAGGGTGTTCCTCTAAGGTTCCAGCCTGTGTGCACATGGGGTCCTGTGTCACCAGAACTGCGGTCTGTTTCCTGCCAACCCAGATGTCAGAGTGCTTCAAGGGCAGTGGGATTACAGAAGTAGAAGCTGAAATCAGTATACAGTGGGTGACCTGTGAAATACTTCCACTGGGGTGTTCCGCCCAGAGCTTCCCACAATGCTTAGGGCATTTCAAGGGCAGAGATGGATTAATAGTGGTGTTGAGTGACTTGTCAGGCACTCAGAGTTGTGGTAAGGGCTGAGGGCAAGGATTTGGAAGTCCCAAGTCCAGACAGGGTGGAGTGAAGAGAAGCAGCTAGTGTCAGGGTTGTGAAATGCGATGTCATGAACATCAGGTTTACAGGATGCCGGATGTGCCCACACATATTTCAGAGGTAACAATGCTGGTAAGGGTGTATATTCTCTGTTGCATTTCACAAGCTTTAATAAATGTCCATAACAAGTGCCTGCATCCCTCTTGTTTGGGAGCATTTGAGTGAGGCAGCCTTCCCCTGAACTACCCTTCACAGCTCTGGACCTGGATTAGCTAAACTCTGGTTTGGCTCATTTACTTCATTTTATCTTCTGGACCCTGTGTTGTTAAGTAGATCTAAGCTCTGTCTCCATGGGTCCTCATAGTTGCTATGGAGGCATACGTAAGGCAGAGGAAAATATTTAACAGTTCATTTTGCTCTGGCTTATTTGTCTAGTGACGAGTTCCATGTCTGCAGAACTCAAGAATTAGGAGAAACATTTGCATTTTTCCATGAAAATCTAAATAGGTATCAGTGAATTTTCTGGGTGTCAGGCTGTTTCCTGTAGATCCTGCCCTCTTTTTGTGAGAATGCTGCGTTTCATCAACAAGGCATTGTTACCTTTGACACTTGGTGTCTCACAAGGAAGCATCGACTGCCACAAAAAAGAACCTTCAGGGATCGTTTCTTCCTTTGACTTTAATATTTAAGTACAAGAAAATCTGAGTCTCAAAAATTTTGTTAGGGACAGAATAGATTTTGAGTCTGAGTACAGGTAATCCTGGGCTGTTGAGTAAAGTCGTGGGTGCTCATCACAGTTACTTTAAATACAGAGAAGCAGTTCAAATGAAAGCTTCCTCACAAGTTCACTGTGTAAAACACCAGGGCAGTGCTACCCAGACGCTCACTTATCCATTCATTCATTCTTGCAAATCTTAACTCAGGAGGCCCTCCACACACCAGGAGCTGGTAGGCACTCAGCACAGTATTAGGTAAAAGTGGGTAATAATACTGTCCCCGTGGCTCCCACATTTTAGCAGGGGAGAAAAATAAATATATAATAACCATGATAGCACATTATTGGGTATTTACCTTGTGCCAAGAACTCTCCATAGCTCTCACATGTCCCATGTGGTCAACGTAGTAACTTTCCGATTTAAGTACCAGGATTTGCCCCAGTTTTACAGTAGATGAACTCAGGCAGAGAAGAATCAAGAAACTTGTCCGAGATGATGTAGCTTATTAGAGGCAAAGCCGGGAATTGAACCCAAGCATTGTGTCTCTGTGCCCTATAGGTGACCTGTCCTCTGCATCGGCCCTAGTGTGGAATACACAGGTGCTGGGGGAAGTCACCAGGGCTGGTGTAGCCCCCATTTTTGTTTTTAATTTGAACTTGGGGTGCTAGTTCTCTAAACATTTTTCCTGCATTAACAGTTAGATGATTCTGTTAAGTAGACCCTGGAGGCAAAAAGGCTGAGAGGGTGTGTGTGTGAACTTTCGCCTGTCCCGCCCCTGCCCTGTGTAGAAATTGCTTCTTGGGAGCAATGAGCAAGTGTGTAGGGAATAGAAAAGAACTGATTCCCAGTTTTTTAGGTATCTCTCACCAAGTACTGCATCCCATGGTCACATGAAGTCTTCTCAGCATGCATTTATTATACCACGTGGCCATCTGTTCATAACTTCTGAACATGAGAAGAATCCCAAGGCCCTCCCTGGTGGCCGGGGGTGCTGCAGTCTCCTTGAGAAAAGGGCTTCGCGGCCCGCCCGTCCCTTTCTCTTACAGCCACCTAGTTGCTCACTCCCATGACAGGTGAAAAGTTGTAAGAAGGCTAATTCATACCCAGATTGGCCAAGACTATGAAATGATTCTAGCTGGTAAGTATTCTTCTTAGAGGTTTAAAAAGTCTGCCATTTCCTTCATGGTTAAGAAAACAAACCTCACAGCCTGAATCTGTCATGCAGTGTCTTTTACTGTGATTTACCCAGGAAAGTGGAAATGCTGGTTTTGCTCAAGCCATTCGAGCCTGTCCACGGAAATGATGGCATTAGAAGCCTGCGTGAGGTTTGGTGCCGTGTTTCCAGGACTGAGCACTCGTACTAAGAAGTCTCCTGGTGCTGATAAGATGTTTGTCTCTTCCCCTGGCAGGGCTGTGTAACCACACCAAACTCCCCGGCTGTGAATCCCCGTTCTGCTCCCTTGGGCCCATCCCTCTCACTCAGCAACATCTCAGGGGTGTCTGTGAAGTCGGACATGAAGAAGCGCCGAGCGCCTCCACCTCCTCCCCTGCCCGGAACTGGAACGGGGCCGCCTGCGCAAGACAAGCCATCTGAAAAGGTAGGCAGAGGCGCTGCTCGGGACCCGCACATCTGCCCCAGGACCCGGGCACTCTGGGCGCTCCCTGCGTGCACTGTGAGCCTTCAGGCCTGTGGCTTCAGCATGGAGTGTGTTTAGAGTGAATATTTAAGCTTTATTTAAAAGTAAAGGTGAGATGCCACACTTTGAATTAGAGAAGGTAAGAAAATTTTTGTGCCTTTAGTCCTTAAAGGCCTGTGCTTGTTGACAAACGTTTATTTTTACCATTGAAATTTGAGGCATTATCATGGTCACTTAATAAGATCACATGTTCAGGGGCACTGAAAGAAATCTGTAGTTTGTGTAGAGCAAGGATGATGTGTAATAAAATATCGATACCCTGAATAATTCAGATTTACAGGAAAGCTGAGATTTTTGCCTATTAAGTTGCTTTCTATGCAATATAACATTTGTCTGTGGAGACCTTGTATGGAAGCAGCCCCGATTGATGTTTATCCCAAGAGTGCCATTGGAATGCCTTTGCAAGTGATCGGCATCCCTGCCGGCTGGAGAGAGCCTTTGTCCTCAGCATCCGGCATCTACATTAGGACTTCTTCCCTCCATCTTCCGGCTGACATCTTGAAACACTTTCAAATCACATGCTCTCAATTTCCAGGGTGTTGGACACTCTTTGACAGGAACTCCTCTTTTTATGGCTTGGAATGTGACACTGAAAATGTGAAGTTTTTATTTTCCAAACCCTCCTGCATTTGGCAGGGTGTGGTCAAGTGGGGTGGGCACTGAGCACTTGAGGAAGCTGAGTTCTCCAAAGCAGCCAAGCTGTGCCCGGCAGCCCGGCCCGCTCCACACCTACTCTACGCAGTGTGTCAGCCTCGGTGTAAAGATGAGGGTGCATGATCCTTCAGTAAGCTGGGATGCTTCCCAGTGACACACATACAGCGGCCTGGTGAGATGCCACACCACGAGCAGGCACCTTTACCTAATGCACATTTAAAGGCCATTTATTCTCTCTTCAAGAGAGCATGATTTCCTCTTTGCTTCTGCTTTAGTGTCCCGTGACCTGTCTCTGCTTCATAGTGGCTGATGGCATCATGTTCCTGCTCGTCTTCAGGTTCCAACTCTTTTTTGCTTGTTCATGAAACGACTCTTCCTTAAAACAAACTAGAAACTAAGTCTATACTCCCCACATGGGTGGGGGATTGAAGGTGCATGCGTGGCTTTCTGTAGCAGTGTCATGATACCTCACTTACTTTCCTTTTGGGCCTTTCTATCTATGTATCAGTCCATCTGTCCATTTCTCTTTATATCCCATGGTGTTCTCTGGCCCCAGGACTCAGAGCCCACCCTTCCCATCTGCAGAGCTTTCCATTCAGAGCCATACCCACCTGTCTGAAAGCCTGTAGTGCAACACATTTTAGAAGAAAGTATTTGAGTTTTGTATTTATTAAACATTTTTTAATGCTACTGATTTGAGTTCCCATGATATTTTAGCTGTCTTTTGTTAAGTTCAGGCACAAGTGTACATCGTTTGTTACACACGTGCATGGTTCAATGGTGCAGATTTCACATGAGCAACTTCCTTTGATGTCTACAGGGTGTCTGTTTATTTTGCTTGGGTTTAGGTTCTGAGCTTTTTTGTAACACACAGAGCATATTTATAGCATTACAGCCCTTTTCAGCCACATACCACTGGGGATGTCTTTTGCTTTTGATTGGAAGGAATATTTCTGTAGCAGTGAAAATTAAGAATTCCAGTATCAATATTATTTAACCTTTTTTTTCCCAACGAGAGTTGCATTTTCCTAATGTTACAGGATGTAAATGTAAGCCATAACAGCATTTTTAAAATGTCTTCTGTCCAGAGATGTTGTGTGTTTCAGATTTGAATGTGTTTGTCCAGAATGGATAAAGATGGCTTGAGTAGGCAAATGAACCCTAAGTAGATAATTGGGAATTCTGAATGAAAAATAAATAGTACTTCATACCCTGAAAAATGAACAGAGTTTCCTCTGAGGCAGTAAAAGCTTTTTATTGAAATCTGTTTTGTTTGGCACAGAATGAATAGAGAAATTGGCTCCCAGAAACCATCTCCTTTTTTTAAGCATATGAGTGGCATATGCATTAGATTTAAGCATTTGCTGTGAATATGCTTTTTCTTGTTAAATGAAAGGTATTTTTTTATTTACTGATTTCTGGGAAAGGAACCCAAAACTGTATTGTCGTCAGCGCTGGGGAAGAACGTCAATTCCTTCTCGAGAACTTCCTTCCAGAGAAAGATAAGGAGTTTGTTTGGAGAGCTGTGTTTATCTGCCACCGTCACTAGCACCGGGATACTGAATGGGAAGGGGAGGTTTCTTTCAAGGACATGACTGATTAATAAGAAAATGAGAGTGTTTAGGTTTTCATATTTAAAAGACATTTTTCTCATCATCTAGTATTAAAAATTCACTATTCACTTACTCAGGTCTGGGAGGTGGAATAATTTCAGGCATCTTCCAGTTTACCTGAGACTTTAAAAAGATCTGTAGTCTGTGTAGCAGTATGTTACTTGATTTTCTACTTGTAATTTGATCATTAGTACTGGTCATTTCTTAAAGTACTTTCCATAGAGATATTCCTGGAGGTGTTTGAGCCCATGAAAGGCTTCTGGAAGTCTGGTAGCAGAGAAGTTGGTAAGGGGAGTAAAGCCCCATGCTGTCTTTCAGGACGTGGGAGAACCACTTTTGGGCCAGACCCTGGTCTCTCTTCCCAGGCCCTTGGGTGTAGCTTCAGTTATGTGGAGTGCTCACATGGGAATGATACATTGTATATGTTAGGGCACCATATGCTAAGTCAGGATTTTTCAAACTAAAACAAGCATCAGAATCATCCCCAAAGAGCTTCTTACTAAGACACATTTAATTTGCTTCCCTCAAGAGTCTCTGATTTAGTGGGTCTGGGGCAGGGCCTGAGAATGTGTGTTTGGACAAGTTCCAGGTGAACCACATACCTCTCCACAGCATGCTACCACCCCGATCTGCCTGCTTACAGTTCAAACTAATCAAATGTGACAGTGTTCACTCATTGTAAATATTTTTAACAGGTCTGGAGAGATTCTTCAGGAGGAAAGCTACCTGAAAATAATTGAATCTATGCTGAGCAATAATCGTTAGCTGCAGTTTACCATAAAGTAGCTGAGGTCCAAAGTTAGATGCTGGGCTGAATGAAGAGCTCTCACTCCTTGCTGGGACCTGGGGAAAGCCTAGGTTAGGGACCCAGGGGCTGCCTGTCTCACTGGGCTTGCTCAATCCTCCTCTTCCCTTTGAGGCTCCGCACTGTCCTCCCCGCCCTGCTTGTTGCTGAGGTGAGACGACCTCATGTCATGACTCTGGCCCTGATCAGGGCCTAGAATTCTTGCCTGCTGCACCTATGCTTGGTCAGGGCTCCCCTTTGTGTGCCCAGGAAGATTTGTCTTCTGTCGTTTGCACACCTTTCTCCCACTCAGTGCTTTCTGATCAGCGTGGGTCCCTGCTTGGTTGTGAGTGGGAGTTGTGCACAGAGGTGCTGGGTGGGCATCCCTCCACTCACTCTCTGGTCCTGTGTCCTCTGCAAAGTGGGAGCAATGACAGCAGTATTGCCAGGTGCTTGGTAGGAGGGCAGAGCATGGAGCCTGGAGCTGCTTCCTGGGTTGAATCCCAGCTCCGTCATGCTGGGTGTTGTCTCCTTGGCAAGTTGCTCAACTCTGCACCTCGCTGCTTAGGTGCACACACTGCATGACCGACTGGTGGACGTGGTGGTGGGGGAGCCAGTGCCTGAGGCAGAAGGCTGGCAGTAGAGGGAAGGTTCTCTGCCCTGGCCAGGGTCCTGCATTCACCAGTAGCAGATTATATTTAAAAATTGAACTCTGTTTCTAAAACACCAGATGCGTAGTAGAAGGTCACCACACCCCTAGAACAGGTGAAACAATACCAAAGCCTCTCCCTCTGGGCCACAAACTGTGGATACCCCAGTCAATAGTCCACAGCTTCAGAGGATTATAAGGGAGGACTGCTGCTTGTCCCACTGTCCTTGGAGCCCATTTGAGAAGAAGGAAGTTGCTATCAAGTGATCCTTAGTAGGTGACTCACTTTACCTAATAAAGATGGACCCAGCCCTGTAAATCATGCTTGATGGACATCTTCCTCTGTACCATACTTTACTGTTGACTGAGCTGCTTATTTCACTTCATTGCTGTCACTTGATTCACTTCATTGTCTGTAAGTTTACTAGGCAGTGCTGTGTTGTCTAACCTTGGCTGCTGTTATCCACAAATACAGGATACACAGCTATTCATAAATTTATTCAGTCAGCATGTAGTTCTTACACACCTGCTTTTGTGCCCATAACAACTGTAAATCCTTTTCTGTTGTAAGGAAAAGTAATTCAAAAAATATTTCAGTTATCTGCATTTTCTTTTGTCCTATATATTTGCATTCATTACATTCAATACCATAAAATTCCAACATGGCAAGTACATTTCTACATTATCTCAAGTTTACTGCACTGGGACTAAAATAGCTAGTGATGTTAGCCATTAAAATGGGAGATGATGGAGGCTTGTGTTATGATCAGTTATTAGTATAACCCAAAATAGATTTCTCCATGAAAAATTTGCTTATGTATACAATAAATATCTGTTGAACAGCTGCTGTGCGCAAGCCCCTGCCCTGGAAAGTGTAAATTGATGCTTGCTGCTCTAATATGTCAGTGCAATGTCCACATAAAAATACAGCATTTTGTTCTGTGGAGATATTTAAGATAATCTGCCTATGTTAGAAACTAAGCAAAAACCATTACTACTGGAAATTCCATTTCCAGGATCAGCATGAGAGTCAGGTAATTAGAATATTACAGGAAGTCATCAAACCCTACGGACTGGACCCCCAAAGAGACGTGTCATCAGTACTGAAGCATGCATTTGACCATTGTCAAACTCAAAGTCGCTTCTGTGCTGCTGTGGCCAGTCATTCTGGCATGTTCCTGCCCTCGCTCTGCTTTCCTGG